GCAGGAGCCAGTAAGAGCAGGTTGAACGTGCCATGTGGTATTTAGAATTGTGGTGCTTACACACAATTTAAAGCAGACAGTTTATTAATCTAAACTGCAGGCGTATGTAGAAGAGGCCGTGCAGGATTGACATGGGGGGATTAGTTTTGCTGGGTTTTTTGCTGGGGTCATCGCTGCAGCACGGGGATAAATGGACCCAGCGTACATCCCTAGCTGCACGCAGGAAACTCATACATACTATTTAATTTACTGTCTCCATAGCAGAGCTGCCATCAGCCTGTATTAGGGGCAGGCAGGGCAGCAGGTATGTGGCTTTACCCCCAACCCTTCACGGGGGTCCCAGAGTCTCTGCTCACTAAGGGAAAACAAACCACATACCAACTCAGCCTACTGGGGTAGAGATTGGCTGGGGTCTAGGAGGTTTGGACCTTCTCAGGGGGACTCTACCCATCCCTAGAATTAAGCCATCCTTTCCTACAGCCACACTCCCAGGGCTTGACCACATGCCTTTAGAATCACAAGTGGTCCCTCCGTCCCTCTGCCCTCCTTCTCTCCACCTCCCTTCCCAAAGCTCCATAGAACTGGGGACTCTAGGGGACTGACTTCAGGTCTCATTTGGCCTGAGGCCACATGTCCTTCTTCTTCTTCCAGTCCCTCCTGTTGTCTGCTTCCATCAAGAGGGAAGGAGAGTCTCCGACAGCATCACCACACTCCTCCGCCACCGACGACCTGCACCACTCAGACAGATACCAGGTGAAGAGGGGATGGGAAGTGGGTGTGGGACATGAACTTCTCTGGATAAGAGCTTAGAGGGCATGCCTGGTGTTAACTCCTTTCATCCTCAGGCGATGAGAAGCGAAGCTTCCTCCGTGTTCGTGCCCCTAACTGAGCCCAGAAGGCACAGGTGTCAGGGAATGGGCCTTAAATAGATGGAATTTAGGGAGTGATGCCTAGTTCACCTGGGCTCTGAGCACCTCTGAGGCATCACATCCACCAGGAGGTACCCTGTAGGGTTCAGTTTCTTGAGGGACCCAGAGAATTAGCCCAGAATCACCTGAAGACGTCACACTTCAAAACCAGGAGCCTTGAGCAGATAACTATTCCATCCTGCCAAACCTTGGAATTGCACCCGAGGGGTGTGGCGGATAGGGGAGAGGCAGCGATTGTCTGGTAGTGCCTTGGGCAGAAACAAAGAGAGTAATCACACAATCCTAAAAGACCAGAGATGGAGGGGGGCTTAAGATGACATCCTAGCTCTGTATGGACCTTCATCAGCGAAGGAAAGAGAAAAAACTCCCCCAGAAGCTGCTATTGAAGAGAGACAGAGGCCTGCCTTTGAAAACAAGGCCCTGCTACAAGGCATTTGCCTAAACAAGGCTTCTCAGGGAGCCCCAACGTGAAAAGGAAAAACAGCCCTGACTTGTGATGCAGAAATCTGGGTTAGAGAACCAGGGTCACTGCTGGCACACTTGAAGCCTTTGTGGGAATTGAAGGTGTTCTCTTTGGGCACCCTTTACAACCAACTGATACAGCCTGGTGTCAGATTGCAAAGCTTGAAGAGTGGAGGTCCGAATATGGCCTGGACACCAGCCACCACTGGCACCTCCTCCACTAGATGCTTTTGTATGGAACTCAAACTGCATAGTCCAAGAAACCAGCCCTGGGGAAGGATCCCTGCTCTCATGAACCCTGGTTTGAAAGAGGCAGCCCAGTCTAGCCCCTGAGAGACACTCCCCTCACTCAGACAATTCTCACAAAATAAGAGAAATGACTCAACCCTGGGGAAGTCTGGACTGATAGGGAGATCAGGGCTCTGTACCAGAGTTCCACTCCAAAGGGATAGACAGAGCCCTGCCCTCAGAGGCCTGTCCTCTCTGCCCCAGTAATGGCATTCAGCTCACCATCTGCTGGACTAGGAAGCATAACCATCAGGCATTCACATGGCAAGCTAGGCATAGGCTAGGCATGCTAAGGCATGGCACCAAGGCCTTCTGTGATTTAGGTTCAACCTATATGTCCAGCTTCCATTCCTAATACTGCCATCCATGAATCCTATGGGCTCTGCTCACCAACTTAATGCCAACCACTCCCTGGCTGTACCATTCCTTTCTTGCCCCCAACTTTTTACATATACTGTTTCTTCATCAAATTTCTGTTTATCCTTCAACATTCTCCTCCAGGAAGCCTTTCTAGATTAACTATCTCTTCTTATGACCCCTGTGTGACCCTGTTATTGCCCTTATCATCCCATAGCGTGATCATCTGTTTAGGTATGCCCCATTATCTACTGATATACATTAAAACAAAGCACCCAAAAATCTATTACTTTGAACACAATTTATTATTTCTTATGATTCTGTTGGTTGACTGGGCCCTTCCTCACTCATTCAGCTGGAGGACTGGGTGGTCTGGAAAACCTAAAATGGCCTCACCACGTCTGAGAGACTGGAGTCCCTTGGTCCTCTTCCACATGGTCTCTCATCCTTCAGTAGGTTAGACTGGCTTCTTGACCCGGCAGCCTTAGGGCATTGTGACTACCAAGAAGACAAAAGCCAAAGCTGTGAGGCCTCTTGAGGCCTAGTCTCTGGAACTCACACATCACTCAGCGAAGCAAGTCCTAACCCATAACTGAGGGATGAGAAAATGCAGTTCCTGATAGGAGGAGCTGCAAAGAGCTGTGACCATAATGAATCTATCACAATGAGCCTGACTCTTCCACTAGGCCTGGAGTTCCTCCAAGGCAAGTACCTTGTCATCCTTCTTTACTCCCTTCTCTTACTCAGACTTTTCTCTAGTACTCATGTTCAGCCCCCAGCGCCCTTGTCCTGTAACTGCAAATAAGCAACTATAGCCCAGTGTTTTAAGTGCTATGACAGGGGTATAAATAAGTTTTCTAGAATAGCAGTGGAAAGGGGGAGAGTCAGAGCAGGTTTCACAAAGGAGGTTATAACTAAACAGGGTTGCAGAAGACGAGTAAGAATTCACTTTGATGGACAAGAAAAAAGTTCCAGATCAAGGCAACACTGTGCAAGGGGCAGAGCAGTGTAACTCAAATGATGTGTTCGAGGTCCTGCTAGTAGTTCAATTTTTTTAGAATGTAAAACACAAGGAGAACTAGTAGGGGGTGAAGCTGCAAAGTACCCCAGGGATTAGGTAGGTATCCCATCCCCTGGTCTTTATGCAGTCAATGCCTGGCATTTAGTAATTGCTCAGTTATGTTGGATTTTTTTAAAAAATCATCAAACTAGGCCTTAAAAAGCAGGGAGTATTGGTTTCTGGTTTGGATTCCCATTTACTTAGCTCCTGCTGGGTTACCTAACCATCTTAACCATTATTACCGAACTTTACCCTCATAGCAATTGTGCAAGCTAGGATTCAGTGCTTCCTACTACTTACTGCTAAGGAAACAGGCCTAGAGAAGAGAAGTGACTTTTTTAAGAACCCGTAAATTATGAGTAACATAGTTGGGATTTGAAATGGGATCTCTCTGGCCCTGAATCCTAGACTGTTTCCCAGCCCTGCACTGGGCTCAGGGGTTTCCCTCACACATATCCTTCTCTTCTTCCCACTGATTTCTCCTGCATGCTAGACCCTGTGCTGGGTGCCTGGATAAAGATGACCCCCCCAAATAGAAGGGACTGATATATAAACAATGAAAACATACAAGATCAGAGGGAAGCCAAGGGACCATGAAAACTCAGAGGCAACTGACCCAACTTTGGGGGTAAGAATGAACAACAGTTAACCAAGCAGGGGATATGTGAACACAGACAATCTAGCCCAAAGTCCAGAGCGTGGAGTGCTCAAAGAACTATAGTAGTTCTGCTAAGCTGAGAGTCAGGATGGCAAAGGAAGAGAGCAGGAGTGGTAGGAGGTGCCTCTGGAAAACAGGGCGGGTCAGAGAAGGCCAGTAACACAATGTCATAGATCTGAGTGGAGAACATTGAAGGATTTAAAGTTGGGGGGGGGGGATGGAGTCAATTTTGCCCAATAAAAAGATCACACTGTGTGTAGTGTGGAGGGTGGGTTACAGGGAGAGAAACTGAACACTGAAAGGCCATATAGGAGACAACTGCACATTTAAAGAGCTCCTAAGGTTATGAACTAGAGCAACTGACATCCAAGATAGCTATAGCCATTAAAGAAACACTCAAGAATGTCTTGCCCATGCCAAATGTCCTGGGCTCTGGGTTCACCCATGACTGCCTCATACATGGTGCCAACCCTGGAGTGGTCAGTCCACCAATGAAAATTTTTATGAACTATAATTAGGGTAGAGATGGAAACATATTTTTTGGTTAGGCTCGGAAGGACGAGTAGGGGGATACACAGAGGTGAAGACAATAAATTTAAGAAATTTGTAAAGGTAGACTCCATTGGACCTAGAGTATGGAATTGGAAGAATGTAAAAGAATGTGGTCAAGGAAAACTCTGGATACCGGTGTGGGCACTCCTGAGTGGATGGTGGTATCCCCTTATGAACTGAGAACCCAGGAGGAAGGTGCCTTTTTGGGGATGTCGACATCCACGTTGGCCTCGCGGTTTGCGGTGCCTGTGAGAGCTCCAGAGGATTCCAGCAGACTGCTGCAATGTTGGGAATCCTCTAACGGGACTGCTGCAAAGCTAGGGGCTGGGGGCGGGACAGTTGGGACACGAAGTGTGTTCGCCCACGGGTAGTTGGGAATTCCGACTTCGCCTCCTCAGCAAAGCGCAAGCCTCGGCGCCGGTGCCATAGGGCGGCCGCGCGGGAGCTGGCAAGGGGGAGCCGGGGCGAGGGCTCCGGGACAAAAGCACCGCGGCGGGATGGGGCGTGGAGAGTAGGGGGAGGACCTGGCAGCCGCTAAAACTGGGGCGGGCAGGTGTTTGCGGTTAGTGGGAGGAACCCCAGGGCGACCCCAGCCGGTTCCTACGGGACTACTAGCAACTGATTCCTCGTCCCGGTCCAGGCGCCCCCCCACCCCCGCCCCCATCGTGAACTTTCACCCCCAGCGCGTGAGACGGCAGCGGGTCACGTGATCAGGGCCAACATGGCCGCCGCCGCCGCTGGGAGCTGAGGTGCCGCCGCCGCCGGGCAGCCGGGGGGAATCCGCCCGCATCGCTGCCCTTGCGGGCCAGGCGGCCGCGGGGGCCGGAGCACCGGAGACCGAGACCGGGGCGGCGCCGCGCGGCGGCCACGGGGTCCCGTTAGAGCATCCCCAGCGGCTATGCCGAGGGCCCGGAACGGCCGGCGGAGCAGGGGGGCCGGCAGGAGGGAGGAAGTAGGTTTGTTTACGGGCTGTTTGGGGCGGGGCAGGCCTGAACTAGGGTCTGGTGCTGAGGCAGCACCTGACGCTCTCTTCTCTTTTTTTGCATCTGCCGGGGATCTTCCCCTAGACCTTCCTGCGAGTGCGAGCCAACCGGCAGACCCGACTGAATGGTGAGTCTTTCCCGGCCCCTCCCTCCGCCCCACCCCCGGCCTCCTCCCTCCTTCACTGCCTGAAGCTCCTGGTCTGTCTGTGACTCTTCAACTTTGAGGCCCATTGGTTTCGTCGCCGTCAAATCGCCTAAGAATGTGCTTACTAGGGCGGCCGCCCTCAGTTTCCCCGTCTGTCTAATGGAAGTTATGGTTCCTAGTGCCCCCAAGCCTCTTTAAAGGCCTTGAAGAACCCTGGGGGTCAGTAAGTGCCAGAGAATGAGGAACAAACTACACAATTCCACTCGGGAGCTGGGCTTTGAATTTGCAAACTGCTGGGACCTCACTGTACAAACCGGCAGGGCGCTGAAAATGTTTTTCTTCCAGTTTTTAATCAGTGCCCGGTAGTGTGAATTCAGCCTCTCTGCTGAGACTTGACAATGCAGTGAGATCTGGAGTTCCCACGGCAACAGGAACTAACTCATCGTAGGGCTCTTTGAGTTATCAGTCGGCCCACATTCCACAAAGGTGATCAGCATGGGCTCTGCAGCTCTTAGAGGCCTCTCTGAAAGCACACCGTGTATGCACTACCTGGCGGCCCCCCCCCTTTGGATTCAAACCTCTGGAGCATTCCTATTTGACGAACACAATTGAATGATCCTAGCTTTTTGTGCTGACTAGGGTGTGGTATATCTGGGGGTTTTAAGGGGTTCAAGGAAGGCCCTTGGGTAAGTGCGTGAAGCTATGAACTTTCAAGATTCCCCACTCCTGCCAGTTGGTTTCTGCTGCCTGGCTGAGCCCCAGTCTCAGGAGGGAAAAGCAGTTATGGCCTGGCACCATGCAAAGCATCATTCTAACATCTCTGAGAGGAAAGTGTTAACACACATTTTGTAGATAAGGAAACTGAGGCTGGGAGTGGTGAAGGTGACTTTTCACGCAGCTGGGATATAACTGAGCCATCGTTTAAAGTTTACCTCCAAAGCTTGTGCCTCTGCGACCATGCCAGGCTACCTCCTTGGCAGATACTTTGGCTCTGCTTTCTCAGATAGCCTCTTGGTAGGAAGCAAAGCTTTCCTACCACACTCAGTAAACTTAGTTTAGGACTTGGAAGATGAATGACGAGAATAAAAAACAAACGTGCCTTGCTTAGCTGGGAAGACCGTAATGCCCAGTCCATCAGGTTGCTTTTCTGAGACTACAAGAATCTTCTGTCCTGGGTGGCCCGGGCAAGGACACCATCTGGTATTGCACCCTCCTTGGCAATTCTGTGAAGTTCATTTCTTTAGTCTTCAGTGTCTGTCATAGGTCCCTTCCTACCAGAAAGGCACTTACTCAGGCTCCATGCAGGGTAGGTAAGGAATCTGCATACTGCTGCACAGTTTTCTAGAACTCTTAGGGCCTCTTACTCAGTATTTTCTGATGACTACCATCCCTTCTCCATCCCAGCCCTGGATCTAGAGTATCAAGGTGACTCAAGCCTGAGATTTCAAGGGTTAGGGCAGTCAAGGCAAAGGATCTAGATCTTTGTCCCCAAAATTAAGTAGGGGACCAGAACGTAGTCCTCTGTCCTATAGAGAGAGCCCAGGAATTTGAAGAGATGGAGCAGGCTACAGACCTGGGTTTCTCAAACTCCATGCTTAGTTCTGGTGGGATGATGGCTTTCCTGTTGGTTTGGGTCTTTGTAAATCTACTCTGTTTTAGAGTTGGAGGTGGGTCCCTGCCTCAGACCCTCAACAGGCAGAAGCTGGGACCCCAAGTGCATATTGCTGCCCTGGCACACACTGTTGATGCTGATCAGTCAGGGGAAGAGGACAAGAGAACGTTATAGCCTATGGAGTCAGGCCTGGTTTCCTCTTGTGCCCTTGCTACTTGTTAGCTACTTAAACTAGTGCCTTGATCCCTCTGAGTCTTGAGTTCCTTCCTCTGTTAAAGTGGAGAATGCATGAGCTACCTTGTATAAGATATTTGGCTCTGAGCTTAGCACACAGTTGAAGCTCTAAATTATAATATATCATCTCTGACCTGTGTCACTTCTCACCTCTGCTTCCTGAACTGCACTCATGAGCTTCCTACCAAGGTCAGTGTCCATAAGAAAGTGCTTCCTGGGCCTGCAGTGGGGAACTTCTCCCTCGTTGGCTGCATCCCCCTCCAGTCAATCTAGTCTCAGAGTAGTTAGCTCTGCTTCTGCTGTTGGATCTGGGGAGGGGCCAGAGGGAACATAGTCCCTTGTTTTGACCCCTTCCTGCTTCAGTGACAGGAGGGCTGCAAAGAGGGATTAGTAAGCTAATTAGAAATGATTGCATCTCTCAGCATTAATTAGCAGTACTGTGGGCTTACGGTGTGTACTTTGGAATTGAGCCCCCTGTGGGACAGCATGGCAGGCAGTCCTCTGCCTCGGGGGTCTGCCAGCCCCTCTGCACTGATTAGAAATGATGGAACAGGTTTGGGTAGACACAGTAACAGCTGCCCTCTCGGAGAGCCCAGGGCTCCCTGACTCAGACCCTCTCTACCTTTATGACTGGGCCTTGGTCTCCTCTTCTATAAAATGGGGCCAGTGGACATGCGAGAAATTCTTCCTAAAGTGATTCTAGATAGGACATTAAGAGCTATACCTCTTGGCCTAGGAACAAAAGGAGTTTTAGCTGAGAAGTGAACAACAGGCCAGATCAGGCCCCTGGATGGGTTCTGGCCAAGAGATGTTCTCTGAGGTTTTATTTCTTGATACCAAAAGAGCCATGGTCTTGGCCATCTGGGGAGATACCCAGCAATGGGGAGTGTCTTTGCTCACTGGATTGATTGAGCACTGCAGGTAGCAAGGTATGGGTTGAGCTTGAACCAGCTATGGCCAGAGAGTGAACACTTCCCTGGCCTAGCACCAGTGTCCCCAGGTGCTCTTGGCAAGGCCCAGTCCCCAAAGGAGCTGCATAATGAGAAGGTGCTGCATAATGAGGGCCAGATCAGGCACTGAACAAAAGGGCTAATTGGCTGGCAGGGGGTCAGGATGTGTCAGCTCCCCTGGGACTCTGGGAGCTACAGTGACCGTCTGCCTGTTCTGTGCTTTGTTTTTGGTTTCTCCATGCAGCTCGGATTGGGAAAATGAAACGGAGGAAGCAAGATGAAGGGCAGGTATGTCCCCTGTGCAACTGCCCCCTGGCAGGATCGGAGCAGGAGATGAGTAGGCATGTGGAGCATTGCCTTTCTAAGGTAGAGGGGCCATCACCACCTACCTCCCCTTCCCCCCTGCCACTACTTGCCGACTGCCCCCAGATCTACGGGCTGTTGGGGTCTCCATGTGGTCTCAGAAGCTTCTTCCTCCCTGTTCTTTGCCCTCTTCCTTTGTTTTCATTCTCCCATTTCTCCCCTGGGCGCTCCAGTGGAAAAATTGTTGGGAACAGGCCCAGGTCTTTGACCTCTAGATTGGTTTATTTCAAAGGAGCCCTAGAGCTGGGGGTCCCTCTGGCATATCACAGCTGGGGGTTAGGGATGGCCTGGGACCTGCATGATCCTGCTCTGCTCTTCACAGAGGGAAGGCTCCTGCATGGCTGAGGATGATGCCGTGGACATCGAGCATGAGAACAGCAACCGCTTTGAGGAGTATGAGTGGTGCGGGCAGAAGCGGATACGGGCCACCACTCTCCTGGAAGGTGGTTTCCGAGGTATTAGCAGCTGACACATAGGCAGTGGCACTCTGGTGGCCAGGCCTCTGCTGGGTATCCATCTGTTGGGAGCTAGGAGGCCAGGGCTGGTGGCTGGTCATCCATTCCACCGCGTGGGAACTGCTGCTGGTGGGGCTCCTTTGTGGCCATGCTGCCTGCCTGTGATGTGCATATTAAAATGGATGTATTTGGGTGGGGAAATGGAATTGTGAGGCTGCAAGCTAGGAATGACGAGGGGGGCTCTCAGCCTCGGGTGATGCATTGAAGGTGACAGCCAAGCCGCGTTAGCACCTGCATAAAATATTAAAGGGACGGTTATGCATTTATCACTCCATCCCTCTTAAGGCTGATAAATGAGAATCCAGCAACCTGCTGTACACCTCCAGCACTGGGGGCCCTGAGGGCTTCCAGGCAAACACATTGGATTTTCCTCCTCCTCCTCCTCCTCCTCAGCCCCATGTCAGGGAAATCAGTTACAGAGGAGAGAGTGAGTTATGGCAAAATTTGACCTCCCATGAGCTTCATTGGTGAATCTAATTTTAGTTCTGATCCCATCCCTTCTCCCTGGGCGCCCTCTGCCCTAAAGCAAGAGAGGCCTGGACCCAGCTGCTCCCTGCTTCCCTTGGGCTCTTCCCCAGAGTGCAGAGGGGAATGCAGGGCCTGCCCAGCTCCATTCCCCCTGCCCATCTTCTTGGAGGGATTTGACTTGGCCCAGTGGAAGTCCTCTACCCCCACCAGGTCATACAGCAGACAGGTTGGGTACCCAGGGTCAGTGTCCTCTTGTCAAACTGCCCTGCTTTGGGCAGAGGAAAGGGGAAACTGTCTGCCTCCTGGCCTCCAGCTTTTTTCTCCTTCCGTGCATAAGCACAGCTGGCAGTGCAGTGATGGTCTTTAAGTGATCCAGTCTGCTTCCCATCTGCCTCCAGGTCTCTGGGCAACACCCTTGGGAATACTACTGTGTCTGGTCCCTGGGGAATCTCACAGCAGCTGGGAAGAGGGTCTCCACCTCGTTGTGGCTGTGCTACATGGACTTGCTGAGGAGTGGTCTCCATAGTGCCATCCATTGCAGACTGGCTACGTGGAAGGGCTACAAGCTACAAGCATTTGGGGACAAGCCAAAGTATAAATCAGGAAGGTTTATCAGACCAAACCATTACCTGAGCCCTGAGCTGGAGGAAGTTCATTTGCCATTTCACTCTGGTCCTGTCCTGGAGTTTTAGAGTGGGTCCCTGAGAGGATGAGCAGCAAAGCCTCAGGCCCCTGAATTGCACACACAGGTGTTTGCTGGCAGCCCCTGCAGGGTCAGTTCCAGGACAGTGCTCGGGGTTCACTCTATTGGCAGTTGCAAATACATCTCCCATTGCTGTGGCAACTTCTGAGTCAGCTTTCTTGGCACAGAACTGGACCTGATGGCTTCTGGGCACCAGACGGCATGAGGGGGATACAGTTGTGTAAGGCCTGCTGATGGGCCCACAGAGTGGTGTGAGGGGCTCTTAGTCCCTGAGCGGTGGTCAGTTCTCCCTGAGTGTTTATGCTGTGAGGCTGTTCCCTTTAAGAATTCCTGAGGGGAGTTCAAAGGGGGCTCTTCTTTGAGCATCTTGGAGAGCGAGGACGAGCGTGGGACTTGAAGGGGGAATGGGCTGGAGGTGCCTTCATCTGCAGAGAATCGCTCCAGCTTCCCTGATAGAAGCTGCCACCGCCTCTTATTAAACAGCTTAGTGCAGTCGAAAGGCAGGCCGACTTGAAAGGCCGTTACACAGCGAGACCAGCAGGGGCCACAAGGCGGAGAGCGGGATGCAGTGGAGCAGAGGTGCTGAGGCTCCTGGGGCAGAGGTGGAGGGTTGTCAGAGGAATCCCTGGCTGATCNTGAGATCTGGAGTTCCCACGGCAACAGGAACTAACTCATCGTAGGGCTCTTTGAGTTATCAGTCGGCCCACATTCCACAAAGGTGATCAGCATGGGCTCTGCAGCTCTTAGAGGCCTCTCTGAAAGCACACCGTGTATGCACTACCTGGCGGCCCCCCCCCTTTGGATTCAAACCTCTGGAGCATTCCTATTTGACGAACACAATTGAATGATCCTAGCTTTTTGTGCTGACTAGGGTGTGGTATATCTGGGGGTTTTAAGGGGTTCAAGGAAGGCCCTTGGGTAAGTGCGTGAAGCTATGAACTTTCAAGATTCCCCACTCCTGCCAGTTGGTTTCTGCTGCCTGGCTGAGCCCCAGTCTCAGGAGGGAAAAGCAGTTATGGCCTGGCACCATGCAAAGCATCATTCTAACATCTCTGAGAGGAAAGTGTTAACACACATTTTGTAGATAAGGAAACTGAGGCTGGGAGTGGTGAAGGTGACTTTTCACGCAGCTGGGATATAACTGAGCCATCGTTTAAAGTTTACCTCCAAAGCTTGTGCCTCTGCGACCATGCCAGGCTACCTCCTTGGCAGATACTTTGGCTCTGCTTTCTCAGATAGCCTCTTGGTAGGAAGCAAAGCTTTCCTACCACACTCAGTAAACTTAGTTTAGGACTTGGAAGATGAATGACGAGAATAAAAAACAAACGTGCCTTGCTTAGCTGGGAAGACCGTAATGCCCAGTCCATCAGGTTGCTTTTCTGAGACTACAAGAATCTTCTGTCCTGGGTGGCCCGGGCAAGGACACCATCTGGTATTGCACCCTCCTTGGCAATTCTGTGAAGTTCATTTCTTTAGTCTTCAGTGTCTGTCATAGGTCCCTTCCTACCAGAAAGGCACTTACTCAGGCTCCATGCAGGGTAGGTAAGGAATCTGCATACTGCTGCACAGTTTTCTAGAACTCTTAGGGCCTCTTACTCAGTATTTTCTGATGACTACCATCCCTTCTCCATCCCAGCCCTGGATCTAGAGTATCAAGGTGACTCAAGCCTGAGATTTCAAGGGTTAGGGCAGTCAAGGCAAAGGATCTAGATCTTTGTCCCCAAAATTAAGTAGGGGACCAGAACGTAGTCCTCTGTCCTATAGAGAGAGCCCAGGAATTTGAAGAGATGGAGCAGGCTACAGACCTGGGTTTCTCAAACTCCATGCTTAGTTCTGGTGGGATGATGGCTTTCCTGTTGGTTTGGGTCTTTGTAAATCTACTCTGTTTTAGAGTTGGAGGTGGGTCCCTGCCTCAGACCCTCAACAGGCAGAAGCTGGGACCCCAAGTGCATATTGCTGCCCTGGCACACACTGTTGATGCTGATCAGTCAGGGGAAGAGGACAAGAGAACGTTATAGCCTATGGAGTCAGGCCTGGTTTCCTCTTGTGCCCTTGCTACTTGTTAGCTACTTAAACTAGTGCCTTGATCCCTCTGAGTCTTGAGTTCCTTCCTCTGTTAAAGTGGAGAATGCATGAGCTACCTTGTATAAGATATTTGGCTCTGAGCTTAGCACACAGTTGAAGCTCTAAATTATAATATATCATCTCTGACCTGTGTCACTTCTCACCTCTGCTTCCTGAACTGCACTCATGAGCTTCCTACCAAGGTCAGTGTCCATAAGAAAGTGCTTCCTGGGCCTGCAGTGGGGAACTTCTCCCTCGTTGGCTGCATCCCCCTCCAGTCAATCTAGTCTCAGAGTAGTTAGCTCTGCTTCTGCTGTTGGATCTGGGGAGGGGCCAGAGGGAACATAGTCCCTTGTTTTGACCCCTTCCTGCTTCAGTGACAGGAGGGCTGCAAAGAGGGATTAGTAAGCTAATTAGAAATGATTGCATCTCTCAGCATTAATTAGCAGTACTGTGGGCTTACGGTGTGTACTTTGGAATTGAGCCCCCTGTGGGACAGCATGGCAGGCAGTCCTCTGCCTCGGGGGTCTGCCAGCCCCTCTGCACTGATTAGAAATGATGGAACAGGTTTGGGTAGACACAGTAACAGCTGCCCTCTCGGAGAGCCCAGGGCTCCCTGACTCAGACCCTCTCTACCTTTATGACTGGGCCTTGGTCTCCTCTTCTATAAAATGGGGCCAGTGGACATGCGAGAAATTCTTCCTAAAGTGATTCTAGATAGGACATTAAGAGCTATACCTCTTGGCCTAGGAACAAAAGGAGTTTTAGCTGAGAAGTGAACAACAGGCCAGATCAGGCCCCTGGATGGGTTCTGGCCAAGAGATGTTCTCTGAGGTTTTATTTCTTGATACCAAAAGAGCCATGGTCTTGGCCATCTGGGGAGATACCCAGCAATGGGGAGTGTCTTTGCTCACTGGATTGATTGAGCACTGCAGGTAGCAAGGTATGGGTTGAGCTTGAACCAGCTATGGCCAGAGAGTGAACACTTCCCTGGCCTAGCACCAGTGTCCCCAGGTGCTCTTGGCAAGGCCCAGTCCCCAAAGGAGCTGCATAATGAGAAGGTGCTGCATAATGAGGGCCAGATCAGGCACTGAACAAAAGGGCTAATTGGCTGGCAGGGGGTCAGGATGTGTCAGCTCCCCTGGGACTCTGGGAGCTACAGTGACCGTCTGCCTGTTCTGTGCTTTGTTTTTGGTTTCTCCATGCAGCTCGGATTGGGAAAATGAAACGGAGGAAGCAAGATGAAGGGCAGGTATGTCCCCTGTGCAACTGCCCCCTGGCAGGATCGGAGCAGGAGATGAGTAGGCATGTGGAGCATTGCCTTTCTAAGGTAGAGGGGCCATCACCACCTACCTCCCCTTCCCCCCTGCCACTACTTGCCGACTGCCCCCAGATCTACGGGCTGTTGGGGTCTCCATGTGGTCTCAGAAGCTTCTTCCTCCCTGTTCTTTGCCCTCTTCCTTTGTTTTCATTCTCCCATTTCTCCCCTGGGCGCTCCAGTGGAAAAATTGTTGGGAACAGGCCCAGGTCTTTGACCTCTAGATTGGTTTATTTCAAAGGAGCCCTAGAGCTGGGGGTCCCTCTGGCATATCACAGCTGGGGGTTAGGGATGGCCTGGGACCTGCATGATCCTGCTCTGCTCTTCACAGAGGGAAGGCTCCTGCATGGCTGAGGATGATGCCGTGGACATCGAGCATGAGAACAG